TCACAACCACCTATTACTCTAGCTCCTGTAGATCTGATGACTTATACTGATGCACATAAACACGTACATAAATTTTCAAAATGCCTTTTAAAAAGAATGAAAATGACATTTGGCCTACCTAGCATTAGTTATAAAAGACAAGTGATGAAAAAAGAATATTTTGCCATGAGCACACACAAGGGAACAAGCGGCGGGCCTTCTGCCCTGAGCCCTCTGTTGAAGAGAGGTGGGATGGGAGACAAGTATCTGGCTACATTGAATTGCCTGGATTGATGCCAGCTCACACAGCTAGTCACAACAGTAGCCTGTTCAGCACTTAAAACTAGCCTTAACAATGCAACATTTCATTTTTCTTACTCATTCAAAGGCTTCAGCCTTTTGGTTATGTTAGGGAATAGTTCAGATAGGCAAGCAGCATTATGCATTCATTAAATGATAATTACTTAGCAGCTGCTGACATCATGCAAAATGCTAACTAAGCACTACAGGAGACAGGAAAAGTTCCTCGGGCATGAATGATGTCATGAAGATGGTGAAGAGAGGGGGCAGCAAAGGATGCCCTGCATGAGTAAGAGACCCAGGTAAGAACCAGGAGATGGCAGATGAAAGCACTAGGAAGATTTGGACTCCTGTTGAGTTGGCACAGGGGTTCATCTCTCAGCCTGAGCTCTTCTTTCGCAAGCCCAAGGCCCTTCTTCACCACTAACACACTTAACTGCTAAACTCTCAGTATCGAGAGTCATTTATCCATCTTTAATATTTCCTCAGGATTCTAATCTACTTACACTGATACTGTGATACCAGAGGGAAAGGGACACCTTCAGAGTGTCATCTAGAAATAAAGGCAGGGGTAGGGATGAGGGCCTCTTGGGCACCATGTCCACACCTGAATATAAAAGATTTAGAAAGCCCAGCTGGGAGCTTGCAGCCTAGTGAAATGCCATCCTGCTTCTAAAGCACACGGGAGGCCTGAAGCTACTGCCACCAAACCTCACTCCCTACACAGCAAGCCACCATTTGCCCAGAAATAGCTGGAATTTGCTAATGGTTACAGGACTGACTGGAAGCCCTGCCTTACTTGTTCTAACACTAGAGCAGAAGCCATGCTGAGGGCAAAACACACAGTTCTGTACTGAAAATCTGGGGTTGGAGGGAGCAGAATGAAAGAAATCAACCACCAGTTTTCAGCCTTATAGACTTATTCTGAGTAATACAAATGAATTTAAAGGGAAAAAAAAACTGTAAATACATACAATTAACTGCAACTCAATGAAAATGAAAAGAAACAAGCAATGGTGTGTTTTTATGTCTCTTCAGTAAGCAAAATAATCCTGTGGATGCCACATTGTGTCACAAGAATGCTGTAAAGAGTTTTCAACCTTAACCTCTCCTCATAGAAGCAGGATGGGTTAGAATAAAATCTTTTTGAAGGCAAGGCTGCAGCTACATCACTCACTGTTTATCTCCAGCTCAGCACAGCTCTGTCTGCTCATGTGTGAATGAATGAGTGAATGAATGAATGAATAAGTGAGTGAATGAATGAATGAATTTTAGACCACTATATCTAAGAAGCAGCATGCCATGTCTGAGGGGAAAGGAGCTGCCATGTGTAACTAGATTAAAATAAACTCAGGCATACATCATCTCACGTAACGATTTAACCAGCAGTACTACAGTCTAGCCACAGACTAAGAGTAAAATACACATAAAAAGTTAAAAAGTGAAACTAAGGGAGAAAGTCAAGTGGATGAAAAAGCTCATGACTGAATCTCCTCAGTTTCCCAGCAAACGGTTTTCTTCACCAAGTGCAGACTGCTGCCCTTTGTGTGTATTCACAAAGCTATTAATATTATAAAAATTTATATGTTAAGAAAGTATAGTTATAAAAGCTGGCTTTGACATTTTTATCAAAAGGAAAAAGGATGATTCCATTTCTCTAGGCTTATATTTCTATTTCATTTAATTCTGCATCAATCATCTACTTTCATACCATCCTGGGTAGTTTTATGTCAATTTGATAGAAGCTACAGTCATCTGAGAGGAAGGAACCTCTCCATAAGATGGCTGTAGGCCATGGATGGGGGAGGGCCCAGCCCACTGTGGGTGGGGCCATTTCTGGGCAGGTTATCCTGGGTCCTATAAGAAAGCAGGCTGAGCAGGCCATGAAGAGCAAGCAAGGAAGCAGCACCCCTCTGTGGCCTCTGCAACAGCTCCTGCCTCAGGTTCCTGCACTGTCTGAGTTCCATTCCTGGCTTCCTGTGATGATGAACAGGGATATGGATGCATAAGGCAAAAAAATCCTTTTCTCCTCAGGCTGCCTTTGGCCATGGTGCTTCATCACAGAAATCCTAACTAGGGCTCCTAAATAGGACATACCCCCTTAATTGTCTCCTTTTAACTCTACCTAAATAAAGTGGCTACATGGACACTACAGCCCTCTCCTAAGTGACATGTTGAATGGTGTCTCTTCATGTCCAAATCTAACACGTTCCTAATAAAGTTTGCAGCAGTTTACTCAAAGGGGGTTGCCTAAGTCCACTTTGTACTGCTGTAACAAACACAAGAGTGGGAAGGACATAAGCAATGGGTTTACTGGGTTCTAAAGGGTGGGAAACCATCGATGGAGGAACCTCAGCTCATGAGGTACTTCTTGCAAGCAGACACACAGTAAGTATAGGTGGGACCCCTGTCAATAAGAAGGGCAGTGTGGGTGTGCTTTTCATCCAAGGTACTAACTTAGCTTCCTTCCCTTTGACCAGTTAATAACTTCAAATTGGGCAGAAAAATAGTTACAGACTAATGTCTGGAATGGAAGAAAAATTCCTGAATGTTTTCAGGAAAATCAATGGTATTATGAAGAAAGAGTTGCTTGGTATAAGAATACATTAAACAAAAGCACAGTTACCAAACAAGAGTTTGAACTCTTAGGTATCAGGCTACACACTCCAAAAGGGATTGTTCACGATGTCACCCAGATAGCTTATGAAATTATCTAAAACAAATTAAACATGCCTCTTTAATTAAGAATAGTTGGATTCAGAAAAGGCAGTAAGAGGGGGGAGAGGGTGGTCAAGTACAGCCTGTGCGATCTGCTATAGATGACATCACTGAGCCTGCAAAGCTTCCACACAAGGTGCTCTCCACCAAACCTGCCACCTGGCTGAGTCTGTGTCACAGGCTTGTCCTGATTTCCTCAGCAGCTTACAGGCAGCAGTCCTGTATTTACACATTAAGACGTCTAGAAGAGGGGGCTGGGAGAGACGGCTCGGCGGTTAAGAGCACTGTCTGCGCCTCCAAAGTCCTGAGTTCAATTCCCAGCTCATAGATGATGAAACCAGCTATGATGAAATCTGGTGCCCTCTTCTGGTGCATATGCATTCATGCTCACAGGGCACTATATAAATAATAAGTAAGTAAATCTATGAAAAAAACAGTCTAGAAGAATGTGACACCTCTCAAATCCTATGCCCGAACTGGCCTTCATATATAAACAACTCACCTTCAATCCTCTGGTCACAATACCTGTACTTACTGCTTTCTGTTACTGTGATCAAACTTCTAACAAGAAGCAACTTAAGGGGAGAAGGTCTCATTGGAGGACATGCAGCTCATTATATTAGAAAAGCAACAGTAGCTTGAGGTAGATGGCCACATGATGTCCACAGTCAGGAAGCGGAGAGCAGAGAGGAAATGAGGTGAGGCTACAAAACTTCAAGCCTACCCCCAGCCGCCCACTTTCTTCAGCTGGGCCCCTCCTCTAGGGCTGTGCCTAGCTGTGGACCAAGCTTTCAACTCAGGAGTCTATGGGGGCACCTCCCATTCAAACCCCACTCTTAAATAGGCCATCTGAACATGACACTAAACACACACCTCCAGGCTCTCCAACTCCACTACCCACAACTTGTTACTTATCACGTGCATCAAGAACTCTAGTCTCTCTCTCTTTCACACACACACACACACACACACACACACACACACACACACGTAATCAGATAGATATATAAAATATCAGTCTGCAACTTCCCAACCTGTATAATCTTCTGTAATTTCCTTCTGCATTCTGTTTCCTCATCAAGAAAATAAAATAAAGTTTCCCACACCACAGAATTCCTAGGAAAATTACATGACTTAATATTTGCAACACACTTAGCATAGCAACACCCACAGTGTTTGCTATCATTATCAAATACTTTCAGTATCTCCTGCAGAAGCTTTAGCTATCAGGATATAAAAACAAGCGCCGCTTTTGTCATCCTTTGCAAATCCCTCCTCCACAAACCTCTCAGGCACGAGAGAACAGAATACTGAACACACACTTGGTCCTGGAGGACCTAGGCAGTGTGGAGGAGAAGGAGGCACACAGGGAGAAGGGTGACTCAAGCAGAAGTGAGGCGGAGAGGCTTCCTGGAATGCAGTTCTGCACCTGAAACCATTTGCAAAAGCAGCATGCTCACTCACACCAACCCATTTATCACAGAGAGATTCTTAAAAGAGTAAAACAATGTTGTCTTCATCACTCAAAATACTAAAATGGTTCAAATGTTCGCTGTTTTAGAAATATCACCATAGGTCACGCAACTTTTCTCTTAGTCAGTAACAGAATATACCCCACAACATGAGCCAATTTCCTAAGGACTCGGTTTTAGAGAAAGTACCTTTCTTAAAGAAACTGTAAATATTACTATGGTCAAAAGCTAGCTTCAGTGAAACCCCACCCCAGAGTCCCAGCAACTAACTGCTATGTCTTAGAACAAATCCCCCTTTCCAACCACACGCACTGTGTAAGGAAGCAGCATTCTGTTACTAAACCAGTAAAATGAAGCTTCATCTTTAAGCCACATACTATGCAGTACAAAGCTTAAGTTTGGTTCTCTTTTATATAACCAAGGGGGTATACTGATGAACAGTGATTTAAGTCCAACAACTGAGCAGTGTGGTCAAGGCATCCCAGACTTGGGTACACAGAAATGCAAGCATGGCTGCCTTTTCGTGGTTACCTTTTAAATGCTTCTGCTGGGTTCCTCTCACACTCTCCAGGCCCTAGGAGACTCTGGACGGCTGGATCTCTTAGCTTGTCCTCGTAACCTTGGAGAAGTCCACTTTGGCATATCTGGGCTACCAGACCTCGGATAAATCCCCCAACACACAAAGTGTCAGAGTCCTGGGCTTTGCAGAAGTGAAAAGCCAAAGCCTGGCGGTGCAGGCCTCTCTGCAGGCCTGCGGGGGAACTTGGCCACAGGAGCTCAGTGCAGAGGGCTGTCTTGCCACTGCCAGGACCTCCTACCAGCAACACACCCCAAGAGGCTCCCTTTCCAGAGATGGCACTAGCATTATTCCCAGCATTTCCGACAAGAGACTGTGTGTTGGCTGCACTGTTGCAGCAGCTTGACTTCTCCTGGAGGCAGTGCTGAAGTTTGTGGAAAACCCATTCGCGACAGTAAAACTGCTTCCCTTGCAGCAGACTCGTTTGGGCCATTTTGCAGACTTTCTCTTCCCAAGGATTCGTCATAATAGGTTTTGTTTTCTTTTTTAAATCTTCAGTGTGATCCAGAACTCAGATACATTGCCACAGGCTTCACGTCCATTTGGGCATAACTTTTATGTAAGTTGACTGGGAATGGCCAGTTACAGTGAAACTCAACAGCCCCAGAGTTCATTTGGCAAAGGAATGCGCGTGTCTTTATTTGGTTCCATAGCCTTAATTAGCAAAGGATTTATATATTTGTCAAGAGGATGTAAAAATGGCTTGTCCCAAAGCTGGCAACACCATTCCTGGATCTTTTGGGGTCACAGAACTCTGTGGCTCAATCTGGAGTTCATGTGATGGTAGATGTTTCAAGCACACAAATGAGAAAACACATCTGGAAAACAGAAGAGAATTGCCAGTGCTTGGATCTGTAGAAAACGCCCCCACAGCACTATGAGCCTCAGTGCTCTCTCTGAAAACGAGATGCAGAAAAGCCATCCATTATGTTAAGTGGCACCAAAGATTGCATTTAGACAGGATGTAGGTAGCGCTGTGTCTCTCTCGCTGAAGGATGAGCATTCCGAGCCTAGCGCTAGTTCGTGCCAGTTTCAAACATCTGACCGCTGCCAGGGAACTGTTTCAAATTAGAGTCTCTTATGTGGCAAAAATCACAAACCTCTGTTGACACCTTCTTAATGGAAAACATTCATAAAATACATTTTTCGAGATGACAGATTCTTAATAGACCTGTTTGCAGGTTCCTCGGTGTTCCTATGCCCAGGCAGTCAACAATTCCCAAAACTAAAATGAAGCAAACAAAAACCACGTTAAAACCTATCTGTTACAACTCACCGGAGAAAGCACTTTCAAAAAGTTACACGATTACCCCTTAAATGAACCCATTTTCCTTTTTTAGACTTTTTCTTCTCCATGAGCATTCTTCCGAGACAGATTTTTTTTCCAGAATTAATCCCGATTTTGAAAGCCTCCCTGTCGAAACGGAAACAAAATGGTACTTTCTGCCACCTACAGCAGCACCCTGGATTTCAGCCTGAAAGCCCTCGCGGTGTAGCTGTGCAAGAGCGCCACTGAGGCAGCTCAGGCTCGCCCCGTCCGGCGGGGCTTCTTTGTTGATAGTTTGCAGACCCTCGGGGGAAGCTCGGGGCTGCCGCTGCACAGGACCTGCTCCCGCAGAAGGCCGGCTGAGCCCGGGCAGGCAGTCCCCACTCAGGCCCGGGAGGACGCCTGCCTCCCCGAGTGCTCGCGGCCGCAGCTCCGGCCCCGGCTCCACTGACAGACAAAGGCTCGGAACGAGGTGCTGCCCGGTGCGGCGCGGGCAGGGCGCGGCCCAGGTCCCGCCGCGGGCGCCGCCTCCAGCCCCGGGAATCGAGAGAGGGGTCTGACCCGCCCGGTCCCAGCTCCGCTGCAGAGGCCGCTCCGCCCGGCCCGCTGCCCGGGGTTACCTCAGTCCTTCCAGCTCCACGGCTCCCGGGATCCCTCGCAGCCGTTCTACTGCTTCGGTCCCCGGTGCGCTCCGCCTCGCATCCGCCCGCGGCTCCGGCCGCCGCCAGCCCGGCCGCCCCGCACCGCGGCGCTCCGCCCAGCCCCCACAGCCGCCACCGCCGCCGGCGCAAAGACTGTCTCTGCCAGCGCCAGCGCCCCGCCCGCCACGCATACCCCGCCCACTCAGGGCCCGCCCCGCACAGACCCCGCCTTGTTGCGCCCAAACCACGCCCCTTTTGGACCACGCCCCTCCCCATAGGTCACGTCCCACATAGACCCCGCCCCTCCCCTTTAAGCCCCACTCCAATTGGTCTGCCTTTCGCAGGCCCTGCCCAACCTTTCTTTCCCCGCAGGCCCCGCCCAGATCATAGCCCCGCCTCGTCTGCCCAGCCATTCTCCTAAAACCCGAAGCGCTACGACCCCGCCCCACCCCGCCCACCGTCCTCCGCACCCTCGAAGAGTGAGAGCGGATTGCGGTGCTGCGCAAGGCTCGGGCAGGGTCGTGTTCTGGTCCCCAAGCTAGGCGCGGTGGCCCCTTGTGTGCAATAGGTCCCTGGGGTTGCACAGACAGACGTCCGCTTTCGTGCCTAGCTAGGGAGGCGGCTCAGGTCAGCCCGCTCAGGCTGAGGGACCCGGTGTTAATCCCGTGCTTGCTGAACTCCTACACCTGTAGTCCCAGGCGCCTCGTCCAGGTTGCCAGCGAACCTGCAGAAACGAGTACGTTCTCCACAACTGTATGGAAGCTGGTTTTTATAAAGCTACGGTTTGGGTTAGTTTCTGCTTAAACAGCTTTAGTCACTACTTAGCCTGTGTCTCTTACAGCGTAGGGCAGGACGGAAAGTGGAGAGATTTTTAATACATATGTAGACCAGTTTGTTCTCATTTATCCTGTATATATATTTTCCATTAAACTACTACTAGTTAATTGAAGCAGTTAATTTAGACCTGGACCAGAAGGTAGAGAGACCTGGTTTGGCAGGCCATACCCGTTGACATGGAACAGTTTTTTGAGGAGAGGCAGTCTTCGTGTGTTGCACAGGCTGGCTTGGAATGTGACTGTTCCTCTGCCTGTGCCTCACTAGTGCTAGTATTACAGGCATGGATCATGTCTGCTGAAAGACTAACATCAAGTTGTAATTGTTATTAATCTTTAGACCCATTTGGATATTAATTTTTCATTTATGTATGTACCTCAATTCATTTCTCATAGAAAAACTAAGAATAACTTACAGTTTTATCAAATTTATATCTATCAATTGCCTAAATACTAAAAATAGCAGATTATTTGCCCCTGGTATATACAGATCAGTTTTGCTTTGTTTGAGACAGGGTCTCACTGTGCAGCTGTGGAACTTGCTGTGTAGACTAAGGTGGCCTGAAACACATAAAGATCTGCCTGCCTCCGTCTACTGAGTGCTGAGATTAAAGATGTTGTGCCACCAAGGCCGCTGATTCACATACATTGTTTAGTTTCTTAGCCATATTTTCTCTAGCAGAAGATGCTGGCATCTTTCCGGGAAAAGAGATTTCAAATTAGTTTTTCTTATTTTTTTTTTTTTGTTAGTAACATTTTCTTAAATCTTTAAAGTTGCATACAGTTGAAAGTATTCACATTTTCAAATATATTTGACACCTGTAGACTAATTTGTTCTTCTAACTTATCTCTTATTGATTTTTTTTTTCACTATTAGAAGTGAGAAGTGAGACCCCACAGACTAAGATATTTAAAAAACCCAAATACAATTTCAAACTGGTGCTTTTATATTTATGGTCTTAAAATGAAGGATGTTTGTTCCCTTCTTTGGCAGAGAAAATTATCCTCTTCTATCTAAACCCTGATTTCAGTCATTTCAGCAGGCAGAGGCTGCAAACATCAAATACTCAGATTTTAGAGATTTTAAGCAAGATGCTTTGAAAGAGTGGAGGACTCCTGTGGGCCCTGTGGCCTATATCATCGGGTTTGCTCAGGAAGCCAAGCTTTAAGGTGTTGAGGGTCTCAGATTATGTCACGGCTTTGAAGCACACTGCTTGCTGTGTGCTTCCTGACCAGGTGACATGGTCTTTACAGCACATATTTCAGAGAGCTTACATTTGGTCCCCATTGGATCTCAGGAAGACACTAATTGCAGGGGTCCCAAGTTTGGGAGGCAGTGGCAAAAAGTACACAAGTTTCTAGCCACACTGCCAGTGTCTGTGTGTGTATGTGTGTGAGAGAGAGACAGAGATAGAGAGACAGAGAGTGAGAACACGAGCCATTCCCCTGAAGCTATATTTTGTGTTTTGAGATATCTCACCATTCTAAAAAGAAAGGGCCAGGGGGAAAAAAAATCGCTTCAGGTGGCCTTTCTTGTTTCCCCACAAATTTAAAGAGCTCCACACAGATTGTGTCTCACACCCCTCAACAGGGCAGAGGCTGGATGTAAAGTAAAAATCAAGGTGCCACACCCATCCACGTGATTTTTAATGTTGCTGTTAGTACAGGTTTTATTTACATAAGCATGGGGCATGCTGGTTATGCTGATGGAACTTAACAGAAATGGAGAGCATAGGAAAGATTTTACCTTGTAAGAATATGGTAGCTTACACCTAAAATCCCGGCATTCCGGAGCTTGAGACAGGAGGGTTACTGAGAGTTCTAGGCCAGTCTGGGTGGCCTAGACACCGCCTCAAAAGACCAAGACTAAAGGGACTCTAGCTTAATAATGGGACATCCTGTTGTCCTCCTGAGTGCCTTTTGGGGGAGAACCTATATAAACTTTACATATTGAAGGTACTTTCCTGCTTGCCCTGTTCTAGAATACATCCCTAAATTAGCTTTTACCAGTAAAATGTAAGAGGTCCGGGTGTTTTCTCTCAAAGGATACATAGGAGAAACCCTAGATAAGTTGAATGTTGTAGAATGCCAGGCCCAGAGGAAGAAAACCTTCCAAGCTTGGTTAAGCAGCGGATGGCAAAGCTTGTAGGCGGAACAAAAATTGTCAGTAGGCCCTAATGCTACACCAACAATAGACTTACTAGTGTGAATTTAAAACTCAGCCTTTTCCACCTCTGAGAGGCAGAAAGGTATTTTTAAACGGCAAGTTAGGGTCCTCTAACAATAAAAAGTTCAGGTAGTGAACTTGTGCACAGTTTTAATGATCTGCCATCCTCCACCTTCTCAGAGTTTCATCTATTCCTAAGCCGTCTCTGAACCACATTTAAATAGCTGAGAACCTTGGAAACCAGCTTAGTAACAAGTGACCTTCATGCGTCCTTAAATGTGGCCTGTTCCATATGCTTATATAGAATCATAGCAATAATCACACAAAATTACACCAATTTGAAACTAATGTTAAATGTCATCTGCCAAGGTGAACTTTTGTAACTTTATTATGTCTGCTACACATCCTCCAGTGAGACAGCAAGTGGCTAAATTAATCACTTCATTAGCCTGCATATAATTTGTTAACTTGAACGTTCCCAGGGAAATGAAAGACACTGTTTAATCACTTGTCCTCAGGCTGTCTGTGCTCCCAGTAGCACACCTTACTTTTTCTTTCTCCAAACCACTCCTGTCTGCTGAGCCACGCTGACAACTTCAGGATGGTAGTTTGCCTTCGCGAGGAAGACTAACATGATGTGCTAGAAAGTGCAAGGGTAAACTCAAACTAGGGTGTATGGGAGTCACAAATCTAATAAGACATTCTCCTCAAGGGCTGGAGAAATGGCTCTGAGGTTAAGAGTGCTTGCAGAGAACTGGAGTTCAGTTCCCAGCACCATATGGCTGACGCATAACCTCCAGTTCTGGCCTCTGGGGATCTCTGCAGTCACTTGCAGATACCTTCACACACACACACACACACACACACACACACACACACACACACACTTACATAAAAAATAAAACTTAATGCAGAATTTTTGCTAAGGTGTCAAGAAGCTCCTGTGGGCCCTACAAGTCCTCTTCTAGAGCTCACTGAGGGTGATGATGCGGGCGACAGAAAGAACCTGCTGCAGAGCAGGAGGCCTACCACAGTGTTGGGGAGTTAGTTGGGTTTGCTTAAAGTTAGACTGGCTGTTCGCTAGCCACTAAGATGTAATTCATAATTTTCATAACAAGTCAATCGAGGTAGGTGGATGCCTAGATTTTTTCCTTTCTTTGTTTGTTTTGTTAGCCTGATATACTTTCCTTCTTTTAGGGGTTGTTAAATTTTTTTTCCTCTCATTGAAAGGGAAACTGCGCTTGTGACTTCACCGGCTGGGTCACAGTCACAGTTCAGCATTGCTGAGATTATGGGATAAAATCACATCCAGATAGAGTATAATGACGTGTATGAAGCAAGTGAATTTTGCATCTACATTGGTACTTAGTTTTCTTGTTGCTGTACAAAGTAACTGTCGAAGCAGCTTTGGCTTCTTGATGATGGTAAGTGTTCTGTAAGTGTGTAGGAGACTGCTGGGCAGTGAGCCTCTAGGAGTGATTGTGGGGCTTGTTTTGATTATGTTAATTGGGGTGGGAGGGTGTGGCCACTAGGGTGGCAATCACTGCCTGCTTGGGATTCTGGACCCATACACATTGAAAGCACGGGCTGAGCACATATTATGTGTTTTACAGATCAACACATAACAAAATTGTTGTATTTCCTCAGCTAATTCTAGGAAGTGGGTCCTATTTCATCAATTTTGGACTCTCTAAGATTAAATTATTTTAAACCAAGAAGGTTAAAATCAACTCAAATTCTCAGCTTTGCATATTGGTCTGAGGGTATCCCATCACACAAGAAAAGCCGATTTTTTTTTTTTAACTTTAATTCATAGTGTTAAAAATTAAACAGTGTGTACCGAAACCTATCTTAAGAGGAGTGGTTTTCAAAGGTAATTTGCTGTATGACGTAATAGTTGGCTGTATCTTCCCCAGATAAGTTTGATACTCGATACGATCTTGGCGCTATGGGCATGCATTATAACGCACGGTAGTTTGACTTGGCTGAGTTTCAGGTAGAATGAATGAAGAGTGTTTTATTCTCTATATTCTTATATGCCTTCATTATTTGCTTCCAGAAGATCTTAGAAAAGTCACACGCACAAGCAGCTGGCACTTTCCGTGACTGATAAAATACAAGCCG